ATGATACTGATATGACTAAGGGGTACAAAAGCAAAAAAAAAAAAGGCTTAAGTAAAGAGGCATACGCTGAATTTCCAATGGGTAAAAAACAAATACATTTTGACACTCTAATAATCATTGGTATATATCAACACAAATTAGAACTTTTTCTAGCTACACTACAGAAGGTGACCTTTAAGATCACGGAGCTGATTCACGGCTCAAAAACAAAACAAAAAAAAAGAGTCAACTCTATAAGTGTATAAATACTATCATATTCAAGAATGTAAGTATGGTAGCTTCTAATGTGTGTCTTAAAATATCTGCATTTGAATTACAAGCTACAAATCAAACAGCCTCAAAAATCCTTCTAGGTTAAATGCAATTCATATGTGCAGTTAACCAAAAGACAAGAGCACAGTAACACACAATGCTTTTCTCACCATAAAACTGAAAACACTATTCTACTCACAAAGCCAGAGTTAGAACATACACATTCAAATTATGTACATGTTTCAAATGATAGGATTCTCTAAGCAATCACAGGCGCCGGTGTGATATTGTTGCTGGACTGTTTTAATATCTAGGGAGCTGTAAAACTCACCAATACGTCTCTTGCTGGTTAGACTTTTGTCTACTTTACACCCACTCCAAGAGAAATACTTCCATGCTCTAAATTAGAACATAAGTGCGGCCATACTGGGTCAGACCAAAGGTCCATCTAGCCCAGTAGCCTGTCTGCCAACAGTGGCCAGCACCAGGTGCCCCAGAGAGGGTGGACCAAAGACAATGATCAAGCGATTTGTCCCCTGCCATCCTTCTCCTGCCTCTGACAAACAGAGGCCAGGGACACCATTTCTATCCCCTGGCTAATAGCCTTTTTATGGACCTAATAACCTCCATGAAATTATCTAGCTTCTCTTTAAACTCTGTTATAGTCCTAGCCTTCACAGCCTCCTCTGGCAAGGAGTTCCACAGGTTGACTACACGCTGTGTGAAGATCTTTCTTTTATTCGTTTTAAACCTGCTACCCATTAATCTCATTTGGTGTCCTCTAGTTCTTCTGTTATGGAAACTAATAAATAACTTTTCTTTATCCGCCCTCTCCACACCACTCATGATTTTATATACCTCTATCATATCTCCCCCTCAGTCTCCTCTTTTCTAAACTGAAAAGTCCCAGTTGCTTTAACCTCTCTTCATATGGGACCCGTTCCAAACCCCTAATCATTTTAGTTGCCCTTTTCTGAACCCTTTCCAAGGCCAAAATCTCTTTTTTGAGGTGAGGAGATCACATCTGTACACAGTTTTCAAGATGTGGGCGTACCATAGTTTTATACAGGGGCAGTAAGATATTCTGTGTCTTATTTTCTATCCCTTTCTTAATAATTCCTAGCATCCTATTTGCCTTTTTGACCGCCACTGCACACTGTGTGGAAGTTTTCAGAGAAGTATCCACGATAATTCTCTGAAATTAGAATTATGTTACAAACAAGGAGAATTTTCAAACATTCCACTGGTTCTGAAACATTTTAATACAGTGCCTTAGCACATATGCTGGGACAGTACTCAAAAGGATGTACCACACATGATTTACTGAGAAAATGTGCGATATTTGTTTTACTACATTGCTCTTTCAAAAGAAAATTGTTGTCAGCTGACAATATCACGCTAATTCACAGACCACAGAACATCTCAATTCACATTAATTGGATCCACACACTTGTTTTGCTGGATGACTATAACATCATTACAGTCTTTGATGAATCCAGAACAGAAATACATATAAAGCGGTAAATACATTATAGGATATACATATACATGCAAGGAATATCTATCTCTTTTATGTTGTTTATAAACCTAAAGGCCTTTCAGTTGGAATCTTCTAATTTCATTTTCTAAAATATTTCTTCTCTGAAATACTCTAACTGTTTTATATGCGTGTGGTTAGAGTCAATTTCATGTTTACTTGGTTTTTTTTAATTATAATATAAAATTCGCTTTGTACAGATGAACAGAAGGAGGATGTGGAAGCATAAAAATGTAGGGACTGGAAGGGACCTTAAATACATGTAGGCTACATCTACATTGGCCCCTTCTCCGGAAGAGGCATGTTAATTTCCAACTTCAGAATAGGGAAATCCGCGGGGGATTTAAATATTCCCCGCGGGATTTAAATAAACATGGCCGCCGTTTTTTTTCCGGCTTGGGGAAAAGCCGGAAAAAGGCGTCTAGACTGGCGCGATCCTCCGGAATAAAGCCCTTTTCCGGAGGATCTCGTATTCCTACTTTGAAGAAATTCCTTTGAAGTAGGAATAAGAGATCCTCCGGAAAAGGGCTTTATTCCGGAGGATCGCGCCAGTCTAGACGCCTTTTTCCGGCTTTTCCCCAAGCCGGAAAAAAAGCGGCGGCCATGTTTATTTAAATCCCGCGGGGAATATTTAAATCCCCCGCGGATTTCCCTATTCTGAAGTTGGAAATTAACATGCCTCTTCCGGAGAAGGGGCCAATGTAGACGTAGCCATAGTGTTCTATGTTTTCCAAAATAACTAATGAATTTCAGAGTCCTAAGTTGTGGGTATCTTAAAGGAACCTAATTATTAGAGGGGAAATAAACAGAACTAAAAATCAGGGTTCTTTAAATTGTCTTAATTTTCAAAGAGGACTAGACACTTTTGTGCCTGTATTTTTCGGTGCCTAAATTGAGACTACTCAATCCTTTCTTCTCACTTTCCTCGTTGGCTATGTATTCCTAATATAAGTAGTTACCTATCTTAGCAATTACAGTTTTCCAGCACTGCAATAAAAAAGTCTCAGTTACTGTATAGATAATGCATACACTTAATACTACATTGTTCTTTGGAACACCATTCTCCAGTGGGTTCTAAACCTTCCAGGAACAGCTAGCATGGATAAGCTGAATATTTCAAGTGCCTGAGTTAAGATTCCTAACTGAGCTAATGGCACCAAAACCTTTGGATGAGTAAAACTTCCAGATCCTAACATACACCTATAGCTATGGTACCAATAAATGCTTCCAGCCTCTACCAGGAGAGAAGGGATATATAGCCTATTAAAAAACCTATAGCTATGGTACCAATAAATGCTTCCAGCCTCTACCAGTAGAGAAGGGATATACAGCCCATTAAAAAATGGTAAGTCTATGTCTACTAGGGATGTTAGAAAGTGTGTAATTCGGTAATTGTGTAGCCCAAAAAACTTTTGTCGGTTACACAATTAACTGATAAGCAGCTCTGCATTTCTGCATTTAAAAGAGCTTGAGAGCCAGTGCACAAGCACGCTGGCTCAGTCCCGGCTCTCAGGTTCTTTAGATGCAGAGCCGCAGCAGGGGTAGTTGTCAGACCCAGCTCGAGCTAGACCTAAGCCAGCATGCTTGTGCACCAGCTCCCAAAATACTTAAAATGCAGAGCCGCAGTGGGCAGGGGGATTGCATGTAGCCAATAGCGTTAACCGATAAGCATCTACTTATCAGTTAATCATTTAACCAGCTTCACTATTACATCCCTAATGTCTACACTGGGAAGGTTTAGTGACAAAAGTGCTGTCGACATGCAAAAGTCACCAAAAGTGAAAAAGGTCAAACCTTTTTTTCTGCCTCCCATTGTTGATATTACATGGCTACATTGCTAGTGCCCTCTCAACTGATAGAGCAAAGCACTGTGGGTAAGCATCCCACAATCCACGGTTGTGGGAAGGCAAAGCTGATCCCTGCGCTTCTTGGGATTCCCTCGTAGCCCTGAGAGCTCTCCTTGCTGAGGAATGTCAAAGAAGCACAGCAATCTCTCCAGCCTTCCTTCTGCAGCAGCAGTCTCCCTGCCACAGTGCTGCTAGAGCAGGGCAGAACAGAAGTGCCCCAATGATGTGTTCTTTATTTGTTCCCCAAACAGTGCAGCTCACTCAGCTGTCAGATACTTCCCAGAGCTCTGACAGGGGAGGGGCACATGCCTGCAGGGCAGCAGAGATCACAAAACACTGAGCACAACAATCAGGCCAGGCATTGTGGGATACTGGCAGAAGCCAGTTCTCTTGTCAAAACAAACAGCAGCATCCACACTGACTCTTTGCTGACAATAAAGGGAGGGAAAAGTCAAAACTATCTCACAGGGGCCAACGTTTTTTGTCGCCAAAACTGGGTGTTTTTCCCCCAACAAAAGTCGCATTGCAGTGTAAACACTCTCATTGTTTGGTCTCCAAAAGGCACTTTTTGGTGACAAAACATGCCAGTGTAGTTAAGGCCGGAATAACAACAACTGTGGTAGTTTTATGAGCCTAGCTTCCAGGACAAGAGCCACAAAGGTCTTGCCTGAGGCCTTTCTCAGTACTCCAGGTTACATCCACTGTCTAAATCCATGCTGTGAGTAATGGTAATTTATAAAATATTTTTTCAATAGTTACACAGGGCTAAAAAGATGGGGTTCCCCTGAGTATAATGCAGTGATGCCTGTCATGGCAGACTCAGGAGTAGTCTATTGCCTGTACTAAAGTGATCCTGACCAGGAGTATCATGCCAAGAGTGTCTGTGAAAAAAATTAAAATTAGGAAATTACATAAACTATATTAAGTTGTATTTTATTCTTAAGTTCTCTTATCCAAACCCATTAAGGTTCATGGCATTATGTCAAATATATAATACTGATTTTTTTTCCCCCACCACAACTTCTCTTACATTTCTTGGGTCTTTCCCACAAAAACATAGCCAACTGACAGTTGCTTCAAAGGCATGAAACAAATGTTTAACATGCAACATGAGGAAAGGCTAAATGGAACCACTGCAATCTGGACTCTGTGGAGGTGATGGCATGTTTGAGTAAACATGACAGAGCAAAAGATGCTTTACTGTCCTGATTAAACTCTGTGCTCTTATCCCTTCTTATGGCTATAATATAAGGAAGGCTCTTTTCCTTGTTGAACCGAACACTATACTCAAAAGTGCCAGCGCACACAAAATATGTAATTTGATCCATCTGGACATTAGTCTTTATTTAATCATTTTAACTTACTTTGGCTTCAGTCTCTCCCCTGTGAAGTGTATATAAATGATGTACAGCGCTTTGTGATGACGACCACGGATGTGTCAGTATTTGGAAAACATGGAAATCGTGGCCTAGCGTGTCAGTCGTGACCAGCAGCATCCCTGCGTAAAGGAAAGAAATAGCACAATGGATTAATCGCTGCTCAGAAAGAAGTTTAAGGAGGTGGGCCTAAAATATCTATCCTGTCTTTCACTTGGTTTTCTGGTCACACACACAAAAAATCATGTGAGAAATTGATTTCATTCTAAATGGATTAATTTAATACAGATGTCTCAATTCATTTATAAGCAAAAGTACATTAGAAATCAGGTAACTAACATTGTTGAACTGTGCTGTACAGGCAAGACACTCAAGCTGAAAGTTAATATCGCACACGATCATTATGAAGCACCAAAGTTACTGCAAACTGCAGTTTACTCCCTACAGCTCTGAATTACGCAAGTAAACATTTACTCTCAGCTAATAAAATGGAGATTTGATGTGCCAACACAATTCCCATCTTTCATGCAAGTGAAAACACTATTAAACATAGAATAAAGATAACCCCCTCCCTAAATATATTCAAAGGGAGCCTCTCTCTCTCCAAGCTTTATCACAGAAACGGTCTGATTTATTGCATGAAAAGCCAGCAAATCAGAAACCAAGTTTGCAAGTTAAATATTAAGTGTTACCATAACAGAAAACAGGCCCTAATGCAGAGTGTTGAAATTATTCAATTAGAATGAAGATCAGTAGAATGATAGTAAGTTGTAAATGCGATTTATTTTTTTTCTTCCTTCTACATGTTAGCCCATACTGCAGTTTCTGGACATTTACAACTACAGTACATATTTTAGGCAAGCTTGCCATGAGAGTACATTTGTTTATACTAAAATGGAGAACTTTTTGCTTATACTAAAGTGAGGCGTTATGGCAGAGCTTGAGAAGACTGTATAAAACATACCCAACATACATTCTCTCCTACAGTAAACCTGTATTATCTTGCTTATCACAATAATGTAATAATTTATCACTTACAGTAAGATGCTTATGTTTAAAGAAGTTTAAAGTGGAAACCAGTTTACCTGAACAGTTTTTTTTCCAGATAAAATATCTTCAATGTTATCTAAAAGGCACTTTAATGTATCTACAGAAAGAGGAATTTTACACATTTCCCGATGAGGGCATCAATGGAAAAAGTGATGAATGATGTATTGCAAAGGTATATGCACCAACACCACAGTTAAGGCTGAGTTTTTCCACTGAAAGCAGAACTGATATCTCCCACTAAATTAAATTAAATGTAAGGCTCCAAATTTAGCACAATTACAGATAGAGCCTCTCTAGTAAGGCATCTTCGAGACCTGACCGGTGCCAAACAAGAGAATTTGCCAGACCTTAGGATGTCAATATTGTCTAGCTCCATTACCAACTCTTCCACAGCTTACTGGGCTCCTGGAAGACAGTTAGGGGTAAATTAGAGCTAGACAACAGAACAGAACACTGAGAACAAGGACTGGTGGCTGTAAACAAACTTTATGGGACAGCAGGAAACTTGTGCACATCCAGATAACTAAAATCGTGCCATGTTGCCAGACCAGAGAGTGCCGGACTAGAGAAGTTTCACCTGTACTGTTCAAAGGATAACTGCATTATATGAGACAGTTTTGTGGGGAAATAGTTACTGACTCGTCCCGAGAAAACAATTTCTCACTTCTCCCTGTAGCCAACCAGTCATATTCACCACAAGCTCAAAGCTTCTCATATATGCACAGCACCATATCACTGATATAGGCCACTTTTTTAAAAAAATTACAGTTAAAAAGAAAAAAGTTAGGACCTTTAATCACAGATTCATAGGACTGGAAGGGACCTCGAGAGATCACCAAGGCCAGTCCCCTCTGCACTCTTGGCAGGACCAAACACCATCTAAGACCAGTGGTGGGCAACCTGCAGCCCATGGGCCACATGTGGTCCACTGGGGATCCACACGCAGCCCAAGGACTCCTTGGCTGCCCTTCATCCCCATGCACCTCTCACGCTCCAGGGCACCAGAGCCCCACACTTCCTGCTCTTTCCCCCTCCCTCCCAGCCCTTTTGGAGGAGCCGTGAATTGCCTGGTGTACTTGAAAGCAGGCATGTCCCCTCAGTCTTCTCTTCTCTAGACTAAACAAACTCGGCTCTTTCCATCTTCCCTTATAGGCCATGTTTTCTAGACCGTTCATCATTTTGGTTCCTCTTCTCTGGACTTTTTGCAGTTCATCCACATCTTTCCTGACATGAGGTGCCCATCATCACAAGCTTTGCCATGTACACCAGGGACAGCCAATTGATAGATCAGTTCCTGACATATGGCTGCACAGAGATATGACCACCACCCAAAGAAGCCAAGAATCCTGGCTCCACAGCACTGCTCATGAACACTCCTCGGCTCTGCTACCAAGCCACGATCTGCATCTTTTACTAGGTAACAGAAAGCTGCTCAGTAGAAGCAGAGACCTCCCCTCACCTTATATTTCATTCTTCCTTGTGAATGCTGGGAGCTCTCACCCATCTCATGGAAAATGACAAGTTTCAGCAGAGCCATGATGTACTGGACCTACCAAAGTTCAGAGAGGGACTCCTCCTTCCGGCAAACCACAAAAAGCTTAGTAGATAGAGCAGATGCCGCAATTGAGAGGAAAGATGGCTGTAGTGCTAAGAGAAGTAACCTGAGATTAGGATGATTCAGGTTCAATTCCCTGCTCTTCCAGGACCTCAAGCCATGCAAGTCCTCTATGCTTCAGTTTCTCCATCTGTAAAACAGGGATAATTCCTGACCTCATTGGGTCTTGAGAGAAAGGGGAGAGGTTGAGCACTCCCTGGCTGGAAGGAAGGTCGGGACCTATGACTGTAACCATTAGGGGCAGGGAGAGAAGAAAAGAGAAGCGATCTTCAGTGCACGGATCCATTTCCTGACAAACCGTAGACAAATGCCCAGTCTTACCGCTGACGTCAACAAGATTCTATCCAACAGAGACATTTTTCACTGATTCTGAGTGTTGGAAATGAAAGAATCTATAGTGGAGCTGAGGAGCCTATGCATCGATTTGGACATTATTTTTACAAAAAAGGCCTTTGAGTTGAGGTTGGTCTGGATGTTAATATTTTCACTGAAAATTTCCTTTGTTTACAGGGACACGTCTATAAGAAATATAGTAAAAGTTGTTCAAGTGCAAGTTAGCAAATGTCATAGTCACTTACTCTATGGGTGCTCCAGAGTTGGAGCACCCCTGGGCAAGATCAGCGGGGGCAGAGGACCCACCAGCACCAAGCTTCCGCTCCCCCCCATGGCTCGGGAGTCCAGCACCAAGCTTCCGCTCCCCCCCATACCTCGGCAGCCCAGCGCTTACCAACTCTTCCTCCTCTCTTCTGGCACTTCCAGAGCATGGCGAATCGACTCCAAAGAGACGGGGTAAGAGGTGAGGGCAGGGTGGAGTAGGAGTAGGAAGAAGTGGGGAGATGAGTCTTGGGGAAAGAGGTGGAGTGGGGGCAAAGCCTGACGCAGACGGGGGGAGGGTCCAGTACCCAGCAGCAAAAAGAGAAGTCAGCTCTAATGCGAGTGTCTATTGTGCGATAATACCCACCATTGTCATTAGTTGTGTTCTGTAAATGCACAAGATTATTTCCCTTTGAGTGAAGTGTGTTACCCCCAGTAATACACACAGACTTCCCTGGAGAAAACGTTATGATCTCCTCTGCGTGGGTAGCAGACTGCTTCAGCTAAATGGGCGGGAACATTACTAGGCCTGATTCCACCCCAAACACATTCTCAACTCATCCTTTCATCCTTGCCCCTAATAACTTTACATTCAACAACACTTGGTCCAAAGTAGGGGGGAAAAAAATCTATGTGCAATGGGACAGCTTTCCAATATGCCACCCTCTTCATGAACTGCCTTAAGAAAGAATGTCTGGCAGAATGCATAACAAAAATCAATGCTAACCCGGAGATACACCAGTGATCATTTCATGCTCCAGACAGATCTAAGGGTGTGTCTAGACTACCTAGTTTTGTCGACAAAAGTGGACTTTTGTCGACAAAACTATACCAGCGTCTACACTACCGCTGAGTTCTGTCGACATAACGTCGACAGAACTCAGCAGTTTTGTCGACGCTGGTATACCTCATTTTACGAGGCATAACACCTTCTGTCGACAGAACTCTGTCGACAGAAGGTGTTATTGCCTGTAACATTGCATCCAGACTACGGAGTTCTGTCGACAAAGCAGCTTGCTTTGTCGACAGAACTCAATGTGTCTGGACGCTCTTTGTCGACGGAAGTTTTGTCGACAGTATCTGTCGACAAAACTTCCGTCGACAAAACGCAGTAGTCTAGACGTACCCTAAGTTTAAAATGGAAATCAGTTTACTTGAACAGTTTTTAATAAATACACAGCAGGGCTGACAGCCACAGCTATGAAGTGGGGAGGGACGGGCGGCTCCATACCCCCGAAAGGAGTGAAGCATCGGGAGGATTGGGTGGGACCAAAGGTATTTCAGAATAACGTCAGTTATTCCAAAATAATGCTGCTGTGTAGACATAGCCTTGGAGTGATTCGCTATCAGAATTAGGATTTAGAGAATCATTACTGTGCCAGTTCCAAAGCAGACTTTTCAAACTACACACACACAATCCACACTTTAATAAACCACGACGCACATCTTCCCGTAAAATACACAGATAAACATTTTTTTAAAAAGAAAGAGGGAAAAATAAGATACCTAAAAGAGGGCAGAACTTCTTCTACTTTAGGGTCCTGTGATGTTTGTCTCGTAGATGCTGCAAGATGATGACTGCAGTTCCTGGAACCAGTCATTGGAGTAGCTTGGTCAGAGAGTTTGCTGCCAACTAGCGTGTCTAAGACAGTAGCAAACTGGCAGACTAGCATAGCTAACGACTATTGTCTTCATCTCTTCCCCATGTGGGTGGCCTGTCCAAAGGAACTAAGGGGGATGCTTGCTTCAGAGGTGATTGATGGATCAAGAGAGCAGGCAGATCTCTGTTTTGTCTTGACCTTTACTCCCAATTACTCTGTCTTACAACATCATCTGCATAGGTTGGGGGCTAGTTAGCTGGTC